CTTTCCCTAGGTATGTACAGATATTGGTCAGCCTGGTTCACTCCTAGCCCTTTTCTTTCTGTAGCAGTCCGCAAGCTCTGGGGCTTGTTTTAGCAGGCACTGACAGAAGAGTAATTAGTAATGCCTCTTTTCTCCCACATTGGGCTTGAAAATTATCAAGCCAGCTTCAGAGTGATTTCTGTTGCTACATTTGTGGCAGTTTTCCCTTTGCTTGTCACCTTCTGTGCTAATGGCAAAATCTAAAATTACAGTAGCTGTTGGAGTATAGCCTCAGTTGAACCCCTTTGGAAAGCACCTGCTGAGAAGTTGTTCAGATCATTGAATTCATTGGGATAAGTGAACTAGATGGTAGTTACTGTGTCAAATATAAGTAGATACAATATTGTACTGAGTAAAAGGGAAAAGTACAAGCCTATTTTCCATATAATACACAATAGAGGATACACTGAACTAAAGCCATTCTTGTGAAGTTGCCCTTTCCTTGCTAAATATTCAAGCAGAACTGATGTTGTGCTTTTGGGCCAGCTCCGTAGACTTGCAGATGTTCTGGCTATGAGATAAAGCCTTCTAATGAACCTTAATTACTCCTGATCAAAGTCCTGCTACAGCTCTTTCTTTCCTGCTTACAGAGGGAAAAGGTGATCTGGTTATTCAGGCTGAGTGATGAGAGCCTAATGGCTCTAGGTATCTAGCCACTATTGTTCTTTCTGGAGAGCAGCCTTCTGCATTCATTTGAATACTTATGTCTGCTTCTGCCTCACCCCTCAGGATAATACAGGTTCCACACTGTGTGTCTGGTGGTTACCATTTCAGTTGTTCTCTAGCCTCACAAGCCGAAGATTCTCTTCTGAAAAGACAAATACTACATTTCTTGAGAGTTAACCCAGATTTTTCCTCTGCTGACTATTTTGCTTACCAAGGAGGACAGTAATGCCCTCTTTAGTACAAAGCTGTTGCTGTTCTTTACTGAAGGGCTCAAAAGTCTGCTTTCTCAGTGTAAAGGCTGTCCCTCCCTGTGCCTTTGGTCAGAACCAAGAGAGAATGGTGGTTGGATCCCCAAGGACAACTGACAGAAGTGGGGAACTGCTAGCGGAAACACGCGGGGCATGACACAAACACAGGGCTGAGACAAGAGTAGGAACAGAAGAAAGGCATGCTTGGTGCATGATACAAAGACAGTGCTGCACAGCTTCTGGCTGAGGTAACTAGTTCCAGTGCAGACAAACCAAATTGGAAGCAGTTTCCTGGACCAATCACCTGTTTCCAAGCGATCATTTACCCAAGCAAGCCCCAAATTCACCATTAAACCCTCACACACAGCTTCAAGGCACGATGTCCCAAACCCTGAGAACACCTGGAAATGGTAGTGCTCAACTTCTTGGCCCCATGGGCCAGGTGAGTAGCATAGGGCCCATCTGTGTACCAGCTGGAGCTGTCTGCAGGCGAGACAGGCTGACACCTGGCACCACCCCTTCCCTGCCTCACACACCATGGTTGGATATTTTAAGAACTTTTTAAAGAACAACTCCTTTCGGGTGGCACTTATAAAAACAAACAAACCTGTCCTCTTGGGTTGTACTAACTATGGGGCAGGGGCAGAAGAAGGGGTCCCAGGGCCCCTTGAGCCAAAAAAAGGTTGAGAACCACAACTCGGAGCATCAGTAGGCCCCAGTCAAAATCTCCAGCCTTGGCTACAGTCAACACCCAATGGTCCTGAGAGAGGATCCCCTCTTCCCCCCACAAACAAAAAACCCCGACACCTGTAGCAACAAGAGGGCAAAAATGCATTCCTGGAGCATGGGAATAACCAAATACCTTCCACTCTGTTCTGTAATCCGGGGACAGCAAAAATCGCCCACACATCACGCTTCCTTTCTGTCATCCTTTCCCCTCCATAAACTTTTCTCAGCCCCGCTAATCTTTTATAACCAAGCAGGTGATAGAGATGTACTTCACTCTCCAGCTGCTCAACACGATCTTCCAATACCCACCTGCTCTGGCTTGCTGAGCTTTTCTCGTGATCTTCCAGCAAGAGGGGGAAGGTGCACTTGATTTCACAACTCTTGCTTTTCATAGCATACCCCTGCATTGCTACTCCCAGTTCATCCCCCATTCTTATCCAACCTTTTTAAAAATCTACAGTAAGGGAGGTTCCACAGCTCCCCTGAGACATCTGTTCCACTGCCTTGCTCTTCTAATAAAGAAGTGCTTCCTGGTATCCAGTCTAAACCTACTTGGTTTAGACCCTGATGGTACTATTTCATGCTATTGCTACATGTTGTATTCTATTTGCTGAGGTGGAGAAAAGTTCTTCCTTTTCTTTGTGGCATTTTTTCAGGCATTTGAAAACTGCAATCATGTCCCCTCAACCCCTTTTTCTGTAAGCTGAATATGCCTCTTTCTTTGAACCTTGATTTCCAGGCCCGTTCTCATTTTTATCGCCTGCTTCTGGACCCTCTCAACTCCATGTCCTTTTTAAAATGTGGAGCCCAAAACTGTACACACTACTCTAGATGAGGCCTAACCAGCACTGAGTAAAGAGGCACTATAATCTCTCATGTCGTATACCCAGTACTTATAGAGATACGGAACAAAACTGCATTAGCCTTTTTTTGCAGGTGCATCAACGTAACAGACTCACGAGACACCAGCTTACATTTGGTGCAGCTGAAATGGTCTTGACCTTCTGGGATGAACACAAACATGGCGCATCCCACTTAAATTACAACTGCTGATCCAGCCTCCATTTATGCCTCCTATCTTCCCTGGAGATTGCTTATGCTGTAGAAAAACAAACAACAAAAATGTGGGCACACAAAGCCTCCTGCTGATTCCTCCCTATAGCAAACGCCCAGGCAAATTCCATGTTATCTGTTAACAACATACAAACAAACAGTCATGGCCCAGGCATGGATCACTCTCCTTTCCTCTTTCCGCAGAGATGCAGAACCTTGAGGCTGGTAGTTTAAAGCCAGACTCCGGATACTGGGGCATGGCTGGCTGTCCCAGATCCCCAAGGGAAGGTTGGACCAACCAACAGTGCCATACTGCACCCTGTGGCTGGGCCTGCTGTGAGGTAGGCTCATGAGGCCATCATAGCTGCGTTTGGGGCCACGGCAAAACTGCTACCCAGCCAGGCCAAAAGCTGCCTAAGAAAGCCTTCAAGGCACAGTCTCTTGCTGGTAGGCTTGCACCCCAGGCCCCAAGCTATCCTGGGTCACAAGTGAGGACAACATTCACTGCTACATCCCACATGGGGTTCAAGTCCATCCTCCCGGCCAACAGTTGCCACAGAGCAAGCTGGGAAGTTTCCCGATGGTGCAGTGGAATGCTTACTGTCCTCCAAGTGTGACAACCTAGGTTGACCATTGCTGTAGTTTGGGCTGTGCCACAGCTACATTTTTTTTGCATTTTTAAATTTATTTTAATTTTTAAATTTTTTAAAAGCCCCTACCCCTTGGGCTATATCAGCTGGGATGCAGTGGGGGAGAACTCACCTGCAGCTCTGGCTAGCCCCAGGTCTGGGCTGCGGGCCTGCCAGTGGAAAGCTACGAGTTCAGGAACCTGCTCGGTTGGTTCTTGCCCACGAGAAGTGCTGGTATGGGCCTAGCTAAACCCCTGGACCCAAGTGGTGCTCCAACATGCTCCTGAGCCCTCCCAACAACCTGGCCAAGGGGTGCAAAGTGGCAGAGTCTGGCCACCCTTGGGGGTTTGGGATCAGTGACCAGACCCATTATCTTGGCCCTGGCTCCAGTGAGCTTGGAGAGTCAGTCGCTGGGGAAAGAGGAGAGGACAGAGAGCCATGCCCCAGCTGTGACCTTTATTTGTTGATATTTAAAACAAAGCCTTTCCTGTGGCAAAAATCAAAGAGCAAGCCAGGCAAGGGCTCCCCTGGTGACAGATTTACTGGCTTCCCAAGCACAAGTTGCTAGGTTTAAGTCCAAGCTCCAGCTGGGTTTGCATGGTTGGGCTGTGCCCAGCCACAATGGGTTCCCTTTAATATATATTTTTTGCTAAATTCTTTCTCCTCAGGCTTTACCTAAGACAGAGTGCAACAGGGAGGGCTTCCCTACCTGCAGCCATGGGTGGCCCAGCCTAAGCTAAAGTCCTGCCAGCAGGAGGTCATAAGTTCCTGTTCAGCTGTTTCTTGCCATGGCTGGTGGCATTTTATTAATCAGGCTACATATATACGCCATACCCTGAACTTCATCTTCTCCAGACATCCATCAGTCACCATCAATCCTATTCTTCCACTGAAAAACTGAAGATCCCACTGAAGGTCTGCACTTTTGTTGAGACCAGGACTCCTTTCCTCTATAATACAATCTCACAATAGCTCTGTGGATTCCCATATGTGTACATCACTTTGTAGACTAGGCCATCCTTCTCTAAGTCAGTGTTTCTCAAACTTTTCCAACCCAAGGCACACTTACATTAATAAAAATATTCCATGGCACACCTGTTAAGGCATTCCCCATTCTGATAGTTATTGTAGCTCATTGCCATGGCAAAATTCCACGGCACACCTGTTCATTTCTGATGGCACACCATTGTGCCATGGCACACTGGTTGGGAAACACTGCTCTAAGTCTATCACTCCTCTTCTCTGAGGTTGAGCTGCATGCATTACCAGTTCCTTCCTTTTGAAGGCAAAAAAAGTAACCGTGTCTTCAAAATCCCCCCTAATAGATCAACATGACCGACCATGCCTCCAAAAAATGTGTCACATAAGCACATTCAGCTTCTGTCTGTAACTGTGTCTTGCAAAAATGAATAATTATGACTTTCAGTCCATGCAACAGCATCATTTTCTATTGTCTGGTCCAATAACAAACTATAAACATTAAGGGAGGACACCACCACTGGCTCCTTCCTACTTCTTGAAGCATTATCAGTCCTAGACTTACAGCCCTTAACGATTCCCTTTTTTTAAATAAAGGACATAGGTAGGACAATGTAAGTAATTTACCCATCCTATAGTCCTATTCCTTTTAAGTGCCTGTAAAGAAAAACATGCACCTTTTCTTGAACAAATTTCTAACAAATTTGCAGGCTCACAGGTTAATCAGCATTATATTACGTGTGCTGAAGCCCATGTACTGTACACAAAGCTCTAGCCTGTTGTACAATCGCAAGTCTTCCATTTTAACTCTCCACAGCATCACTCAGCCCTAGCAAATAAAACTTCAATTCTGCAGGGTCTGTATAGGCTTTTTTAAACATGTGAAGTCATAAATGTTCTGCTCACTCATTTTTAAGAAGTCTGCATTGCTAAACAGTCCCAAATAAGATTCTAGATAAACCTGGAGACAATTGAGCAAGAGTGTTTAAAAAGTCACAAACTTACCTGTAATCATGTTTTATCCCAGAAAGTCAAGTGCACTAAATATTCCTAACAATGTAACTAACTTAAATATGGACATACATTTAAAGTTGCAAATTATAAGTGTAAAACATTGCATTCAAAGTTTAATAACTTCACATTTCAGTTATATGCACTATGAAAAGGGATACGCCTGCATGCAAACAGCCCATAGAGCAAAGGTGGGCAAAATACAGCCCATGGGTCATATCCGACCTGCCAATTGATATCTGACCCACCAGCCACTGCCGGGAGACTGAAGGGGGAGGGCTGTGCCCCATGCCACTCCCCTCTGCCACAGCCAGGGCCAGGCTAGGTCATACAGAACACAGACTCCTCCACCCCCACACATCCATCCCTCCCACCCTGCCCAGCTTCCTGCTGGTATTGTGCCATCCTGGCACTATGGGTGCCAGCAGTCTGGCCTGCATGGGATGGGACATGATGCAGCATGCTGAGTAGCCATCCTGCTCACCTGCTGTGATGAGTTGCTGCTGCCACAGCTCCACTAGGAGGTGAGTCCATGCCTGCCACAGGGGCTCAGCCCCAGGCAGCTGCCCCCAACTTTCCCAGTGCAGCGCAGCAGCAGTGGCTCATCTTGATGGGTGGTTGTGTATGCGGGTGGGATGACTACTAAGCACACACCCCATCCTGTGTGGGCCTGGCTGCCAACAGCCGCAGTTCCAGGACTGCAGTACTTACAGGAAGCCACGCAAGAGCGGGTGAGGGGAGGGATGGATGCGGTGGGGACAGAGGAGTCTGTACGGCCTGGCCCAGCCCTGGCTGAGACAGAGCACAGTGACACAGGGCACAGCCCTCCCTCAGGCTCCCAGCAGCAGCTGGCAGGCTGGGTAGGATCATTTAGCATCTCCCCAGCCCCAGCCTTCAACAGCTCACCAAAATTCCTTAAGTGGCGCTCCAGCCCAAATAATTGTCCACTCCTGCCATACAGAGTACTCCCAAGTTGCCAGCAGAATCAAACCAATGTACTGAAGACAAATATAGGAAAAAATAAGAAAGCCTGACAAACCTGAGAAATACAGGAGCAACTGTAAATTATTGTGTTAAGAAAAATATTAACAGAAGACTGTTATTCTTTTGCTGTTTTTATGCTTAAGGTGCTTTTATTTTTATCTCATTCAAGTTTCTATGCAAGTTTCTAAACTTCCAACTAACTCAATTTATCACACTGATATTCTGAGTCTGTTGCATTGTTTGCAGGGCAGAGATTGCACTACCTTAAGTAGTTATTCACTCCTAAAATCCTTTTAAAAGTTTTTATTCACTCCTAAAATCCTTTTAAGAGCCTAGAACTTTTGGCACTTCTTTAGCACTAAAGCAAACAATACCTTCTAGTTACTACAGGCCTAGGTCTTCACAATTATATTTAAACTTACACTTAATAGCCAACGAACAGGAAAGTGGTTGATTTAATTAATTCTCATTTAATTAAGACTATCATGGATGTTAGAAGATCCAGTTACCCTAACATTCTCCACCAAAATTCCTCTTTAATTGTGTGTTGTATTTGAGCATTGCATTTTGACTTATGGCATATTATTTACAAAAATGCTTTATAGAAATGCTAATACATATAAAAATATAGGGAGTCAGATCAAATCTAATCTGAACATTTTAAAATAAACAACAAAAGGCACATATTTATGTATTCAACAACTTCTGAATGACATAGTGTTCTTTTAGAAAATTAAGAACTAAAATCACTGCTGAGAGCTAGGAACAGCACAGATCTCAAATTAAAAAACACAATCAAATAGATTTGCAGGAAGAACATGTGTTTATTTATCACTGAAAAAATAGGCAGATGAAATATTGCCCCTGAGCAAGACTTAAAAATAAGGCTTGTTTTAGCTATATCAATTGTCTGCATGAAGTGTGTTGACTTGCTTAACTATCCTTCTTAGGTTTCCAGTTTTGCTGTAATATTTTTTGAAGAACTTTACAAACAACTTCCCACTTTTCAGGAGTTATTTCTACCTGCTCCACTGGACTGTCCAAGTTTTCAGATTCCGAGCTGGTGGTATGTCCTGTATCTTCATCAACAAAGGAATCTAAAGAAGATGCGCAAGAGCGAGCAGGCTGTGCTTTAGATGTCTCTTCAGTTGGATTACAAATATCTGGAGCAGTATGTGGTCTTACAGAATGTAATGGCTGGCATGTGCTGTCTTCTGGAGCCTTTCCTAAATCACGCAGTGCCCTTTTTACAGCTTTTTCAAGATGCTTAAATAGTTCCACGTCTATATCTTCTCTATCTGTATAATGCTGAATGTTAAGTCAAAAGGACATTAAATCGCTATGAGCTTTTAAAATTTAAGAATATAAACAATTTCATAAAGGAATATAACAACAGAAATGCTCTTATATTGCCAATAAATTTAGTATGATTATACTCTATAAATCAAATAATCTTTGAATCATTAAGACGTACTATATTTTCTTGCATACAACATGTCCTGGTATAAGACATGAACCTTGTTTTTGAGAAGCAGAATGAAAAAATGATATCTCTCCCTGTACTAAGTAACTGAATAGTAGCAGCTAGGTAGCTGGGTCTGCTCATTGATCTGTTCCGTGGATCAGATACAGAGTTGTTTTTTGCTTTTGCAGCTTTAGTGGCAGAAACTGATGTTGCCATATTTGCTCACCAATAATGTGCACCCCAATTTCCAGCAGCTGCTTTTTTTTTTTTAAAGCGTGCATGTTTGTGAGAAAATAAGGTAAGCCTAAAACAATAACAACATAATCATTTATCCATAGCCCATGTTCCTCATTTATCTGTCCATTTCTTCATGTCTCTTATAACCTCATTTTCGTGACAGTTTCATTATTGGTAGTAATAATTATTAATAGTATTATTGGTCCTAATAGTATTAATCATATGCACTCCCTGTGTCTTGGATCCAAGTATGGGGGAGATAGGAGGGGGGCAGGCTGTAGCTGTGGCCCCAACCCAGGGTCAGAGCCACAACCACTGCTCTGTCCCCATACTGCCCTGCTCCCCACCTCCCACCACCTGTCCTCTGCATGGCTTTCCCCACCCTGCCACCTGTCCCCCAGCCTTTCCTCTACTCTGAAGGGATGATGGTAAACTGCATCCAACTGAAGGACCTACTTATGGTGGGGTAGCTCCTATAAAATACCACAGTGTTGCAACTTCCAGAGAAAGGTGAGTATAGGGTGCCTCAAAACCCAAGCCCCAATTGCTTTGTGGGTACACCTTGGATGGAGAAAGGCTAAGGGACATCACCCTGACAGAAATGCACCCTCACTGAAGGATTAGGCAGTCAGCAGCAGTTCTTATCTGTTGCTCTCTGTCACAAGCTACAGTCATCAAGGCACTGAACATCTGGACTCAGCCTGGCTTTGAATTCTGTTTCAATGGGCTAAACAGGGGATGGCTGGTCTTGGGCAGGCTTCACTCCTCCATACTCTTGCCTTGGCATATGCACTGAAGGTCTGGGTGTGATCACCTGACTATACCTCTTATGCATACACCATGATCCAGAGGATCAATGGTTGCCTACTACTCCAAAGGTATCGTTTGATTTAAAGAAACAATATCCTAAAAAGTCTGCCATCATATGTATTATTTTATTTCAGACACAATTGAAGTGGAAAATTGAAAGTAAATAATATGTTTACTTACAGATATGTTTCTCTTTGCACGCCAAGATCTTGGAAAGGAACTCGGAGATGATTCTTCTTGAACCACGTTTGCAGAGCGCTTGAGCTGTTGTTCAGACTTAGTGGCTGATGGTACCTTAATAGACTTGCTAAGCAATTTCTTTGATCTACTTTCATGCCTTTTTTCTTGCTCTGCTTTCTGTTTTGAGTTTTCTTTATTTAAAGTATAGGAGAACATAGAACATTTTGAGTCTTTCTTGGATCCTGAAACACCCAGTATTTGAGAACCTGCTTCAGGATGTTTTTTATGTTTTCCCTTTAAGCCTTCTTTAGACTTATGCAAATCAGTTTGTTTCTCCTCCTTAAATTGCGTACCCATTACTACTTGTCCTTGATATGGCACAGTACACTTTCTAGAAACTTTATTAATATGTTTTTTTTTGCCTTTTGCTTTTCCACAAGACTTGTCTGATGCTTTTGCTTCTCTGTCAGAGTCTGAACGTAAAAAGATAAATGTTGGAGGACTTGCAGGAAAGGAGAGCATCGACTTGGAGAGATATTCCTTAAGCTCTGTTTGGACTTCAGTATCATGAGAACTTAAAAAGGAAGTCAGGGCAACTGTTTCAGGTGTTCCTCTCAAAGAGTCATCGGAGTGCTTTGGTTTTAATGCTTTTTCCAAATCCGTTTTTGAATATGTTTTCTCTGTATTACTGAGACAACTTTGCAAAACTTGAGTCTCTCTTTCAAAATAATTTTTTCCTTTTTGAGGAAGGGTTCTCAAACTATTGGTTTGGGTTTCTTTGTTTAGATTAACCACTGCACACACCTGTTCTGAAATATTATCTACAGGAAGTTTACACTTCTCTTTTCTTAAAATGGGCTTTTCATTTATTATGGACATTTTATTAAGATTCTCTGCAGCATGATCTTGCCTGCTCTCAAATATATTTTTATCAGTTACTGTAAGTGGTTTCCCTTCACCATTTTTCAAAGATGTATTCTGGCATGTGCTTTCTAATTCCACTGAAATATTTTCTACAGGAAGGTCTTGAAAGCTAGTGCTTAAAACAGATTTCAGACTTTTTACTTCTGTTTCAGAAAGTCTGTCTTTACAACCTTCTTTCATAATCTTGTTTAAGAGAGATTTCAGTTCTACAAGCTGTGTTTCTGAAAGTCTATCTTGAAGCTTTTTGGTTGAGAGAGATTTTGTTCTTAGACTTTGCTCTTCCTTGGGTAAATTTACCTCCATATCATTTGACAGTCTTTCATTGGCTCTCAACACAAACAAACTCTGGTATATCTTTCTTAACTCTTCCTCTGTGATTACCCCTATTTCCGAGAATCTTTCTATAAAATGATTTTGGATCTTTTTGCTTAAAATTGACTTTAGATTCATGATTTCCCTTTGTGAGAGTGCCTCTAGTAGGAAGTCTTGTATATTTCCATTTAAAATAGGTCTTCCTTTTATTATATGTTGTTTAGTAAGACTTTCACTAGGATGAACTTGTCCTATATCAGGTAAATCTGTTTCTGTTATTCTAGGTTGTCTTTCTGCAATGTGCTGCAAAGAATGGTTCTGTTGTACATTTTCTAACTTCTCTTCTGTAACTAATCTTGTCTCAGAGAGCTTCTCCTGGAGGCACTGGTTTAAAAAAGTCTTTAGACTCATTATTTCTGTTTCCAAAAGTTTTTCTATGAAAGTATCTTGGAGAGTTTTGTCTGAAGCAGATTTTAAATTTATTTCTTGTTTTGTAAGCCTTTGCTTGTGATGATCTTCCTCTCTCCTAGGTACCTCTGTCTCCAAATCCACTGGCAATTTTACTTTGATTATCTGCAATGACCCATTCTGTTGCTCTTTTCCTAACTTAATTTCTGTGTTCATCCCTCTTTCTGAGCAACTTTCTGACATATAGTCTTGTAGATTCTGACTTAGAGCAGATTCTATTTTTATTTTTTCTGTTTTGGAAGACTTCTTCTTAAAACATTTTGTCCCTTTCTCATCTATTGATTGTCTGTCTTTAAAAAACTGAGAAGTCAAATTTGGGCATTCATGCTCTAATTCAGTGACTTTTATTAATCCTGATTCTAAAAATCTCTCATCTGGAAGATCCTGTAGGTTTTCACTTAAAGATTTTATTATTCTTATTTCTGTTTCTGAATACTGTTTTCCAGACTGATCTTTGCTTTTCTCAGATGACTCTGCCTCAGATTTTGGTTGTCTCGCATCATTGCTTAGCATTAAGCCCAATTCTAAAAGCCCCTCTCTGGCAAAATCTTGTAGATTTTGTTTTAAAACAGGTTTAAGATCTACTATTTCAGGTTCTGAGGCTGTCTTCTCATAATTATGTATTTTTTCATCTAAATCCATGTCCCTAACCATATCTTTTATTCCTTGCAATGGCAGGTTCTGGTGCTGCTTCCCTAACTCCAAGTCTGTGATTATTCCTGTTTCAGAAAATCTCTCTATGAGACGATCCTGCAAGTTCTGACTTAAAACTGCTTTTAAATGTATTGTTTCTGGTTCAGAAAGCCTGTAATAATTCTGTCCCTTTTCAAGTAAATCTCTCTCCAAAACAACTGACGATCCATCTACAAAACATTGTAGATTCTGGTACTCTTCCTCCAATTCTGTCTTTGTGTCTACCACTATTTCTGAAAGTCTCTCTGAGATCATCTCGCCAAGACTACTGCTTAATACAGATTTTAGTGTTATTATATTTATAAGTCTGTCTACAAGAAAGTCTTCAAGAGCATTGTTTAAAAATATGTTTGGATGCATTATTTCTGTTTCTGAAAGTCTCTTCTCTTGCCATTTTTCAGGCAAATTTGTATTTATAGTCAACAATAATGGTTCTTTAACATTTAATAAAGAAAGATCCTTCTGCTCCTCTTCTAATTTCATATTTGATTCTATAAGTCGTAATATGGAAAGGCGCTGACAACTCTTGCTTAACTCAATAGCTGAACTACTTGTTACTTTTGTTGAAGGTGTTCCAATAGGTGGATCCTGGTCGTCTTCCTCTTTGACATCTGCACACAGAGGTTTGTTTTCCAGAACACTGAAAATAGGTGCTTCCAGCCCAGCTTCTTTCCTTTCATATACAGTTGATTGTGTTCTACCTATATGTCTCAAAAAAGGTTCAAATTTGTCCCCACTAAGAACAGGTTGCTGGTACTGTAACATAAATACAAATCAATTATGAGATTACTATTTTGCAGCATTTTTCCCTAGGAGAAATTTCAGTAAAAATAATACTTGGCACGTATACATAAATTAAATTAAAATATAATATTTATGTGAAGTAGATATTTATTCCAATTTTACAACTGACAGAAAAAGAGATTACCACTAACATTTTCAAACTTCAGTGCCTAAAGCTAGGCTCCCAAATTATTATTTATTCACCTTCAATATTGGGTTCTGTCTTTAGTGGTGCTGAGCATCAGCAGCTAATTCAGCTTCCAGTAGGAACTGTGTCCTCACTGTAACAGCTGCATAGTTCACCAGGCTGCAAGCCAAGTGGGTGAGCTGTGCTTAAGAGCTCTGCAAGCAAAGGGCGGCAAAAACTTTGCAGAGAGTACACAAGCTTTACCAGATATGAGAGCATGCAGTGCACGGTGCATACTTTTTATTGGAGTGTTTGAATTGCGACCAGAGCCCACAGTGCAAACTGGAGGGTTGGATTGGCTGCTACTGAGCCATAAAAAGTTGAGGGAGGGAAAAAAAGAGAAGCTGGGGAGGAGCCAACTCCAGCCCTGGGGAGAAGGGATGCACACTCAACCCCCAGCTAGGGGAGACCGAGCTGAAACTTGCCCAAGGAGCAGGCATCAGGACAGGGCCTGTGTCATCCATCCCATGAGGAGCTGATTTCCCACCGGGTTTGGAGCTGTGAAACCAGG